CTTCGCTGAGTACCATTTGGTGCCCCCACCGAGATGATTTGTGCCAAAGCTTCGTAAATTCTTGCGGCTGAGTCTGTCTGTCAGCCCATTTGTTTTACTCTACCTCCCCAGTACTGGTTATCCCAGTTTATCATTGGGTCTCAAGTGACGCGCAACCACACATATCACGAGGTGGGACTGGGAATGCGCAGATAGACGCTCAGGGAGGGGGTTATATAGCTCACGTGAAACAAGGTGAATCGAGGAAAGTCAACAAGCAGAAACATTTCTCTCAGAAGCAAATACGATTCTCCTTTCCCCAGCGACCAAATACGACCCATCTCGGTGAGATTCCCTACGTAAGACGCACCCTGTGAATAAATAACCCTGTAGATACTTCTAAAGAATCTTCCAACCACAAATCTTTTTTAGGCGAATATGTGGTTGGATCTTTATCAAGTATCTTCGGTGGAGGCTCGGCAGCTACATCCCAAACAGGTAAAGCCATTCATATTGGGTAATTACCCTTTGAGTCGTCGAGCTGATGCTTATATGACCCCAACTTCTATATGTTCGAATAAGGATATGCGGCTAAGCATTTGTATTTGTACAGAAGAAGCAGTCCCCCTTGTAAAAGGTGAAGCGGTGATCAAACCAAAAGTGAAGAAAGCGGTCAAAGAGCCCAGTGTTGATGTCGAGCAGAAAGAGTCAAGCTCTCAAGAAGAGACGCCTGCCAAACAGAAAGATCGCGTGCAGCAACGGTGAGTGATTTGGGTTTGTGAAAATACTGGCTTCTGGTTCACTTTGTAATTTGTGGGCTGGGCAGAGAGAACCGTAAAAAGGAGCAAAAAATGAGTCTGGACGAGAAAAAGCGCACACTTTTCGTCGGCAATGCTCCGTTGTCCATGGACGAACGATCGTGTAGGAAGCTGTTTGCTCAGTACGGCCCAGTAAGTTTTCTTTCTGATCTTGTATTGTTCGGGCTACTGTGGTACGCCATTTGAGTCCTTCTTCCTTTCAGATAGAGTCCGTACGGATGAGAAGCGTTGTACCAGCTAAACAGACAATCACGAAACGCATCGCTCATATTGCCCATGAGTTCCATGAAAAGCTGAATTCGTTGAAATTCTCTACATTAAATTCAAGGATGAAGAGTCGCCTGTGAAAAGCTCTGACCTAGTAAAGTCGCCTACTTTTTTTCATTCCTTGATAAGAATGTTTTCGTTAAATATGAGGTAGAGCGATCCGCTTTAAGGAACTCTTTTAGAAGCCATTGTCTTGTGAAAATATTCTCGTAGTCACGTTATTTCCCTGCCTCAGCGGATTCTATCTGGGCATAACGGGTATATTTATGGAGAAAATCTCGGTATCGGAGATAGTAGGTATTAGAAATCATTAGTACTAGTAAGGAAATGGAGAAGGTCGAGGGAGGTCGCGTCCTCTTTGCCTTACTATTCTGTATTCAGTCGGTTACAGATCCGGGGTCCCGCGTCGACACCTGCACAACAAAGGCAGAATATGATCGTAATCTGACGGTTTTCGTAGGTATGTTTTAAAAAACTCTTTTCTTTATCTGAAACCTGGAAACTTCTTTCTTTCTTTCTTTCTCTAAAAGACAACCCGGGCCACTTCGATGACGCGGAGGGGCATTTTGCACTTTTGCTACTTCCCATCGACGTGTCGAGCCATCTAGAGAGCTATTTCATGAGCTTACAAGAGTTGACAGGTTTACCATGGTGGCTCGACGAGCTTGCTCCAGCTTCACAAAAGTTCACAGGTTTCACCAGAGTGAGACTTGTAAACGGATATAGTTAGTCAGCGAAAAAGCCAAATGCCACCTCTGCTCCCCCTCCACCCCTCCCCGTCGCCGAACTGCGTCGACAACCCTCTGCAGCTCCATCTATAGTCTATAATTTTTGTCTTAATAAATATCTCACTGATGTTCTCGTGTTAAGGAAATCTTCCACTGGACGTGAAAGACGATGAGTTAGCAGAATTCTTCGAAGAGAACGTAGGAGGCGTTAGCTTTGTTCGCTGTATAAGAGATTCGTCAAGCGGCATGGGCAAAGGAATCGCATTTGTTGTTTTTAAGGTTAGTTTCTCTTTCAGAGACTGTTATATTGATTGTACGTATATTATGAAGGGCACCTAATTTTTTTGAGTGGAGAGGACAGGGTTTCAAGAGCCTGCAGGCTATGTGGACCCATTGTCAGTCCTACGAAGAAGCATCAGTTTTTTGCTCTCATATGCACGGGCTCTCTAGACTACGCAACCAATTCCCGTGAGCAGTCTGGCTTCGCACATTCTAACTTTTTATAGAACGTTGTTAGAGGCATACCAGGCGCCGAACCATTAGGAAGCCTTGGAAATGAAAGTTAGGCATTGCTGTTGCCAGTGGGCGGGTTCATGACCTCGTCGGGAGTGGGCGCGCTTTCGCCAGGTACTCTTAAGCTCTGGAAGTAGTGCATCCTCGGGCGAGCCGTACTACCGTATCTGGAGACCATCAACTGAAGGTGGAAGGTACCTTCAACTCACTCATCGAAGACCCCGTTCCCGACTTGCTCGCATCGGCGGAGTTCGATCTGGTGAGGCCTTTTTTGATAGTTCCTTCGATTCCCCCCCCCCCTCCCAATGCCTACTCTAAAGACCTCTAAATTCCTGTAGAACGATGCGATAGCAGGCGCTTCACTTAGCAAGGGTCTACAGGGTTAACCAGTATGAGTCGGAATTCAATGGGAACTTGCGAGAGTGAAAATACCCTCTCCCAAGCCAAACATCGTCCGTATGTCCTGTCACACCTTTTGAGGCTCTTTTAGCAGCTCATCTGTACCTGTCTAAACCCCCTCTTTTAGCAGCTCATCTGTACCTGTCTAAACCCCATCTTTTCGAAGACCAATACAAAAAAATGCGAGCTTTCAGTAATATTTAATGACTTTCAATGTATTTTCCTATCTCCGTTACGGCGATTTTTCATAGAGTTTCAACTAAATATTCCAGTCAGCAACATCACTTCCCCTGGCTCTCAGCA